AGGCCAGGAGGTCTGTCTGGCCTCCCCTCCATCTTCCCAACCAGCTCCAAACTGAAACTCTCCAGCCCCTCCTCTGCCTTTGTCCCTTTCCTGGGCCAGGAGGTCACCTGATCCCTTTGTTCTCCAACACCTTCAGTTGGCACCTTTGTAGAGGAGGGGCCCAGGCCATTACTTGCCAGGAGACAGAGTGTCGGCTATTCTCTGTGCAGACAGTATCACAGGGGCCCTTTTGGGCTCTGCAACAATCAGACACCCTGATCCCCCCGACCTAGATACCCAAGAAAAGCATAGGGGAAACTGAGGCACCCACACAGTATTCAGAGAAAACATTATGAACATTCCCACTTTGTCACACAGTTTTCCTTCTGTATTTTATATCACATTAGAGTGAACCCCTGCCCTCTCCAGAATCAATGGCTGTGTCTCTTTCTCCCCCTTTTACAAAAGCAGACAGAGCTGAGGCAAGAAATGTCTGCTTTGGTCTGTGGTCTTTCCATTTCCATTTGTCATTAGGGTTAGGTGAAGTCCCAACACACAGTCTCTTACCCTCCCTCATCTGCAGCTAGTCCAAACCCACTCCACAGAAGGATAATTTGGGATATAACTTTCAAGATGTGCAAAATGTGGGTTTAGGCTCCTAGTCGCAGTCACTATGGAATACAGGGTGCTGGAATGACCCAGTCAGAGAAACAGGCAGAGCTTATGGGGAAGAAAACCAACTGTCTCTCTCTCAGTGGATGGGTTCTTTGTGAGTGAGATGTTTGCCCAGTCCCAGGGGAATCTCCCTTTACTTACAGAGTCAACTTTGGGGTAACTGAAACTGAGTAACTTGCTGTGTAACATTTGCATCTCCCAAGAACCCTAACAACTAATTCCAGAGTCCCCTCGCTGCCAGGGCAGGATCAATGACTTAGTTTAACAAATAGGCAAACTCTGGGGCAGAGAAACTCAGTGATTTACCCCAGGATCACACAGCAAGTAAAAAGAACAGGAGTACTTGTGGCACCTTAGAGACTAACAAATTTATTAGAGCATAAGCTTTCGTGGGCTACA